CCACCCACGGGGCGCCGCGCTGCCACTCGCCCAGCGATGCGCTCCGGTGCGGAGGGGACCCGGGTGACCGCGGAGGAGCTCAGGCTCCCGGGCCGGCCATCTTCCCGCATGCGCAGTGCGCCGGCCCTTGCACATGCGCACCGCCTTCCGAAGGGCTCTCCCGCGCACCCGGGTCCTCGCCTGTGGCTGGCGGCCCGGTATCCCGGAGGATGGATCCTCGGAGGGGATGGAGAGGAAAAAGAAAGAGGCGGAGCAGGGATTCCCGGGGAGCGGAGCGGGCGTTCCCGAATGCCCTTCCCGCGGATTGCAGATTCACAGCGCATTCCCAAACACATCGGGTGATTGACTGTCGGGGCTCCCGGTACGCATCAAATGATGCCTAGCACATGCCCATAAACAAGCCAACCTGGAGGGACCGGAAGGCGCATGCTTCTAAGCCCAGTCTCATAGAGGCTTGATACAGAGAGATCGCGTGCTTGAATTCGAAGCTCGCTGTAGCAGGCGTTGTCTCAAAACCACAAAGCCCCTCCCCCTTTTCATATGCTGAATCAGTTTTTGATTCTTTATTCTGGACTGGGCTCAAGAAGATACTGTTTTGAATGTGACGACAGACTGGATCTCAAATTGCATCGGAGGAGACAGAGAAAACATTTCAACCGGGGGCCTGGAGAGATGGCTCTGTTTTTAAGAGCACTGGCTGCCCTTCCAGAGGACCCTAGTTCAATTTCCATCACCCACATGGTGGCTCACAACCATCTGTTCACTCCAGGCCCAGCGGATCTAATGCCCTTGTCACCAGGCATGCACGTGGTATACAGAGATACATGCAGGCAAAACACCTATACGTAATACAAACTGAGCTTAAAGAAAAAAATGACCTGGAGCCATAAAGTATGTTTTCAAATCATAAGATCTTAAGTGAGTTGCTAAAACCTTTTTGTGCTTTAGTTTCTGAGTTTGTAAAGTGAGGAGTTCCTACCGCATAAATTTGTTGTGGAGATCAAACGACTTAATGGATAATTTACTTAAATAGAGATGGATACCTTTTTGTCTGCTTGAGACAGGGTCTTTCTATTTCTGGCTATCCCAGAACTCCCTGGAACTCAAAGATCCTTCTGCCTCTGCCTCCCAAGTACTGGGATTAAAGGCATGCACTACCACACCTGGTAAGACACGTACACTTTTAAAAAGATTTATTCATTTTTAAATTTTTTTAAAAATTATTTATTTTTATTTTATGTGCATTGGTGTTTTGCCTACATGCGTGTCTGTGTGAAGGTGTCAGGTGCCCTGGAACTGGAGTTACAGACAGTTGTGAGCCTCTGTGTGGGTGCTGGGAACCTGGGTCCTCTGGAAGAGCAGCCAGTGCTCTTAACTGTTGAGCCATCTCTTCAGCCCTGTGAGTGACCATGTCTTAAAAAACCAAAACAAACAAAAAAACCAAACTACCATGTAGAATATTATTTTAGATGTGTTACATTTGGTTATGCTGTGGAACATTTGTTTAATGAGGCAAAGATGAGCTGCATTTTTTTTATGCTGCATTTGTTTAACTCTGTGAAGCTGTGATTCTTTGCCTGTCTAAAACACCTGATGGTCTAATAAAGAGCTGAACAGCCAATGGTGGAGGAAGGAGAAAGGAAAGATGTGAGCTGGCAGGCAGAGAGAAGAAATAAAAGGAGAAATCTGGGAAGAAGAGAGAAGAAAGAAGAAGAGAACAAGGAGAAGACTTCAGGGGCCAGCCACACAGCCACACATGGAGTAAGAAAGAAAGAAAAGATTTACAGAAGTAAGAGAAAGGTAAAAGCCCAGAGGCAAAAGATAGACGGGGATAATTTAAGAAAAGCTGGCTAGAAAAAAGCCCAGCTAAGGCATTTATAATTTAAGAATAAGCCGCCATGTGTGATTTATTTGGGAGCTGGGTGGCGGACCCCCAAAAGAACAAAGAGCCAAAGAGTAAAATAAAAATAAAAGTATAAAATAAAAACAACCAGCAACACTTCCACCATCAGCAAAATCCTGTAGGATGGTTTACAGAGCAGAAAACCAGTTTACAGATCAGAAAATCAAAGATCAGTAAGATTACAAAACTTGCCCATGGGGGCTAGCTAGCGAGTAGTAGAGACATGATTTGATTTTACAGCTGGGTAATTTATTTTGGTATTTGGACCCTTGAGCAGCTTGTTGAAGAGTAACCATAATTTCTACTGTCAAAATGAGTTAGGCCAGGGAAGGAGGGGTGTGACTTATGACAGGGGAGAGGCATTCCAGGCCAACAGAAGAAAGAGCTTGAGCACCCATGGCGGGGGTGGGGTGGGGGGAGAGGGGGAGAACAGTGGTACAATCTTCCCACAGTCCCATAAAAAGCCCAGCCCACTGTGGCTGTACCCTGAGGTCCAAATCATTCCTGTATTGTTTGAACATCTTTTAGGTGCTTGGCAGTAGGTCAGGAGCTGAAGGGACACCTGACCCCGACAGGGACTTGTCCTGAGGACTAGAAGCTCCCAGGTTGGCGAAGATACGTGACCAGAAAGTGTAAGAAATTGAAAACGCGCTGGCCGGGTGGCGGTGGCACACGCCTTTAATCCCAGCATTCAGGAGACAGAAGCAGGCGGATCTCTGAGTTCAAGGCCTGCCTGGTCTACAGAGGGAACTCCAGGACAGGCACCAAAACTACACAGAGAAACTCTGTCTCAGAAACAACAACAACAACAACAAAAAGGAAAAAAAAAAAGAAATTGAACATGTCTAACACACCATGGTTACACTGGAGAGGAGAGAAAAATAACGGCCCACTTTGGGGCTTGTTCATGCATCACCCTGTAAAGCGGAGGCACCTAGCACAGTAAGTGAAGGGACAGCGACTGAGAGATTAGATGACACACCAAGGGTTTTGTGATGACTCAACAGGGCATTAGCCAGTGGATCCTTTGTGCTGTTCACTCTGGACTGAATGTTCGCGTTCCCTTCTGAAATCCATGTGCTTGCTCAGAACTGACGCCCAGTGAATCGGTTATTAGATGTGGCCTTTGGGAGGCAACTGGGACAAACCTCTCAAGAGTTGGGATGCCCCTATAAAAGACACTAACGGAGGCATGGATGGAAATCAGTTGGCAGAGTGTGTGCCTAGTGTGCACGATGACCTTGGTTCTGTTTCCATCACCATGTATCACCAGGCACTTGGTGGTGGAGGCAGGAAGGTCAGGTGTTCAGGGTTATCCAAAGCTGAATAGTGAGTTTGAGGTTAGCCTGGGATACCTGAGACCTAGAGGGGGTTGGAGGGAGAGAGGGAAGGAAGGAAGGAAGGAAGGAAGGAAGGAAGGAAGGAAGGAAGGAAGGAAGGAAGGAAGGAAAGAAGGAGGGAGGTCCTGGGTTCTATAACAAAGCAGGCTGAACAAGCCATGGGGAGCAAGCCAGTTAGCAGCGCCCCTCCATGGCCTCTGCATCAGCTCGTGCCCTGTGTGAGTTCCTGTCCTGACTTCCTTAGATGATGAACAGTGATGCAGAAGTGTAAGCCAAATAAACCCTTTTCCTCTCCAAGTTGCATCTGGTCATGGTGTTTCATCGCAGCCAATGACTAGGACACAACTGGATGCGTTTAATAAGCAGGCATGTTGTAGTGGACACAATGTACTTTGCAGACGGGGAACGTGAATGGTGCTGAGAGTAACAAGGGGGTCACCCACACCGGGAGTGTTCACGACATCTGTGTTCTGTTCTGTCCTGTTTTCTTGTAGCTGCTGTTATAACGAGAGAGGTCCTTAAATGCTGCTCCATGCTACAGAGTGAGCTGTTTCTGTGCATATAGAGAACCTTCTTACTCAAAACTTTATGTCCCTCTTCCTCCTCCCCTTCCTCCCTCTCTTCCCTTCCTGCTCCCCCTCTTCCCTTCTTCTTCCTGTTCCTCTCCCCTCCCCTTTCATCCCCTTCCTCCTCTGCCTGCTCCTCCTTCCCCTTCTTCCTTCTTCCTCCCCACTCCTCATCTTTAAAAACCTTGTAACTCAGATGGGTCTTGAACTCACTGTGTAGCTCAGGCTAGTCTGGAACTTCTTATGTAGCCCAGGTTACCCTAGAATTTGCGATCTCCATGGCTCAGCCTGGAGTGACCTTTCTCTCTCTCTCTC